ACCAGAAAAAGTCGCCAGATTTGTCGCTAGTCGCTTTTTAGAAAAAAAGTCGCTAATGGGGTCTGAAAACTTGGTAAATATAGCGACAAAGTCGCTAAATTGTCAACACTGGTTTAGACTGGATGTCTTTGCTGTCCTTGGTCTTTCAAAGAATTCTTTGAAGATGTATTGAACTTCATTCTTTGACTCCGTCTTCCATTAAAGGCCTAAACACGAGGTTTCTCTCAGTGTGTTTCTTTGTTGAACTGGTCTTCTTCAAGTTTAATTCCTCTAACTCTGTCCTGTTTTTCAGGGGCCTCCATTGAAAATATAGAAAAAATATCTTCTGTTGTTTCAGTTTATTGAGATTTTGCAGACGTTTCACTAATTCCAGCCTGTAACGTTGTCTCTCCTCGGTCATATGATCTTTTCTGGAGACGTTTTATTAACTGACAATTTTCTTGTATTTTTCACCTTTTCCTTAGTTTTAAGAATAACTTAAGGTCCTGTGTCTTGAAACCATCAGTAACAGAAATGTTAGCATGACTTTTATTTTATTACCCTGACACCTTGTTGGGTTCTTGTATTCTTAAAATCTCCTCTTGCCGTACAGAAACAATATTCTTGCCTACAGTGTCGTCGTTATCTTTGTGGTTTATTCGATGTTGTTTCCTCTTCTCTTCTCTGTAGAAGCTGTTTTCTCTCATTGACATTGAGAAATTTAAACGGCGTGAAGTGTAGTGGTGCAAAGAGATCAGAGAACAAAATACAGACACAAACATTTTTAGTTAAGACAGACGCTGCTGTAAAAAGGAATATCAGGAGCTGAAAAAAGACTTTACCTCTCTCTAGTCTTTCTGTTTTAGCCGCAACTTGTGTTTCAGGCGGCAAAGCATCAGGAGCCGCAGTGAGAATCGTGTCTTCTGTTTCTTTAAAAAAAGAATAAGTTCTTATTCAAAGGAAGGCACGAGTAGATTTTAGTAGAATAACAGACGGCAGGAAAAAAGATTTTAAGAGGAATGAAAAAGACCAACTATGAACATGTGACATGAAGAGTTTACAAACTGAGGTTGGACTCAGTCTGAACACACACCAGAACAAACATGGAGTCGAATGACACAGGTAAAGATTAACGATGCGATAAGAACGGTACGTTTGGTACCTCTGGAAGACTTTTTTGAAGGAATCCTTTTCTCGTCTGGCTTTAATGGCACTGAAGGAAGTGTCTGAAGAGGCTCCTCGGATAAAGAGTCTTTTGTTTCCTTTGTCTTGTATTTGACTTCAGTTTTTGCAGAAACAGATTCAAATTCCAGCCCCTGTTTGATCATTTTTGTCATGTCAGTATCTGTTACTGAGGGTTTTACAGCAACAGTCTCTGTTTCTGCACAAAACATTTCCTCAGATTTCACCTTTTTCTCCTTTTTCTTTTCAAATACTTTGTGTGCACTTTGCTCACGTTCAGGGGTGATAGGAATGACAAGTGCTTCCTCTTTTCTCTTTTCTTCCATTTTCACTGCAGTGGGAACGATTGTTGCTTCTTTACCTTTAACTGTGTCTTCCCTCACTGCACTTGTCATCTCTGAAACTTCACTGCTGTGTTTTTCATGCGGAGTCACCGATACGTCACGATCGACTTCAGCTAAAGCCTTTGTTTCAGCTTCCAGGTTTTCAGTCAGTTTTCTTGCTTCTGTGGTGATCACAACCGAGGAAGGTTTGGTTTCCACCC